TATAGCTAATAATTTAAAATAAATCAAGAAAAAATCGGTTTGAATCGGGCTCACAAATAATAATATTTTCTTCACTGCAAAGATAAAGGGGGATTTTCAAGTTATATCCAGAATCAAAAAAGAATCAAAATGAAATAACAACGGAAAGACTGTATCAATACAACCCAGAAATACCATCGGAGGATCGCCTCTTTGCGTGAAACTTCTAGCCAAAGTGAAGTGGTATTTAACGGATATTTCTAAGTTATATATTCGTCATCTGAGCAAATCAAGGCAAATAAAATTCCTCAGAGGATGAAACAAGCCGTCCAAGATAAGTTTTCCTTTTGTCTATATGAATACTGTCCTTTACTCTATCTGAAATTTTTACACACACACACACACATCTATCTATCTCTCTCTCTCTCTCTCTCTCTCTATATATATATATATATATATATATATATATATATATATATATATATATATATATATATATAAAAACGGCACAGGTTAAAAGCGTGCTTCTTATATGTGGCCGAGTAATAAAATTCAAGGAATAAAAAGATAACAAAATGATAAAAAATTGTCAATAAAATTGATGATATTTATTATATATATGACTAAACCGAAGCACGAAGAGAAAGATTTTAAACCCAGAATATTCGGCCCCGCCTTTGTCCTTTATCAACGAGACGTGAAATAAATAATGGAGTGGCACCAACTCTTCAGGAGAATTTTGTTGTTTTGGTGGGGTTTGGTTTTGTTTTGCAACTGTCATGTATTTGGTTAATACAGCAATCTTCATGTAGTGTTATTTGGAATAAATTCATGATTTTATTTAATACATTTTCAGGTTAAATATGAAATATTTCGTGTTGTGCTCTTTACTAGTATTCACCTGTTATTAATTGGAATTGAAACGTGAATCTCGGATTCCTAATTCGTTACAATTATTCATTAAAACACCAGCACATTAAAGCTTGTAACATCTTTCACCCGTCTAGATACTGACCTGGCTCGACCTTGCTTAACCTTGGTGATCGTACGAGAACTCGTAAACCAACGTGATATGGCTGCAAGAATCCTTCTCTCTGTCTCTGTCTCTCTGTCTCTCTGTCTCTGTCTCTGTCTCTCTCTCTCTGTCTCTCTCTGTCTCTCTCTCTCTCTCTCTCTGTCTCTCTCTCTCTCTCTCTCTCTCTATATATATATATATATATATATATATATATATATAAAACATTATTGTTCTACTATCGGTATCGAGCTCTCTTTTGAATTAATGCTGTGAACGTTAGAATTTATATATTATAAAAATAATTATTTATTATAATTTTATCACAAAGACAAAAACAGATTACTCACTACAAAGATGCAACTTCGTTTCAAATGCACCTCGACTGGTTAATAACCAATTTTGGTTCCCATCAGTCGAGGTGCATTTGAAATACAGCGAAACGAAGTTGCATCTTTGTAGTGAGTAAACTGTTTTTGCCTATATATAAAATTATAATATATATATATATATATATATATATATATATATATATATACTATGAAATGAATTAAGCCCGACAGTTGTTTAATATATTTTCTGTTTATACGTTATTTTTATAGATATATTTTTTTTAAGCATTTCACCCCAAGCAAGGCGGGAAGCCACTAGGACGCAAGGGGTTACATAAAATTTAAAGCAAGATCAGATAGGAGTGATAGAAGAAAGGTAGTGGATAGATCAAGGCAACTGGAGATGACGATTGACATTACACTTGAATAGCTGGAGATTATAACTCACAGGGAAACAGGAATAGGGAAGGGAGTTCTACAGGCGAGAGGTGCGAGACATGAAGTTATTAGAGTAGAAGAGACGGTTACATTTAGGAGTTTCGACAGTGAAGGGGTGAGAGCGGGATGCCAGCCTCGTAGGGCGCTGGAACTCATGACGTCTGGGAACCAGCGAATGCAGCTTCTCGGAGCAATTTCCATGAAAGTATTTGTAGAACAGACAGGCGACGGCACGTCCGTGAGAAAGTGACTGTAGACAAGACGCCAGGGCAGGGCCAACCACATTGCATATCCGCCTCTGGAGCCTATCAAGTACCACGAGGCAAACAGAAGGGGCACCAGACCATATATGGCAGCAATACTCCATGCAAGGGCGAATTGTTGATTTGTAGATCTGGAGGATCGACTCCGGGGAGAAAAAACTTCCTAGCGCGGCTCAGGGGGCCAACTATGGTGTTTTACTTAAACAGTATTAATTACATTTACCGGCCTGAATGTTCGAGAAATTTCATTAAAAATATTTACTCTCCGACAGAAATAGAGTTGTAACCCTTATGGGAACCGTTATTTGATCTGATATATTTATATACAGTAATTAGGATTTTCTAAATAAATTATATCTATAAAAATAACATATAAACAAAAACTATATTAAATAATTGTCGGACTTAATCCATTTCATAATATGGTGGCGTTATTTACGTTAAGATATGTTTTGTGAGCACAAATGATCGATCGTTAAGAATTGTCGAAGATGTGTGTTTATAAACAGTAATTCGGACATTGCTGAATGGTTAACAGAACGTCAGATCAAATGATGGTTCCCATGAGGCATTCAGGTTCGATTCCTGTCGGAGAGCGGATATTTTCTACGAAATTTCTAGAAAATTCAGGCCGGTAAATGTAATTAATACCATTTAATTAAAAAAAAAAGAGCATTTACTTAACTAAGTTATATCTATAAAAATAATATATAAACAGAAAATATGCAATGAACTACTAAATTATTCTACACCTATCAATTTTGAATATATTTATCCATTTCTCACAATCTAATGCCCGTATGATGCCAGGTTTCTTATATGTTAATAACAACAAAAATGAATATAAATTAAATTTACAGAACAATAGCTTAAATACAACAAATTTAACAGGCGACTTATACAAAATAAGAAAAGACAAAATTATTCGTACAGTAGAAAATAACGTTTTACATTGATTGATTCGTGTAAGTATAAGTAATTTCCATAATGATTTTATCGGTGAAGCTTTCTAAACTATTTATTCATAGAATATTTGTGATAATTCCAGCAAAGAGCATCACGTGGTGTATAAAATGTCACCATTGTTATTCTTACGATAACAACACAATGGCGAAGACAAAGGAGCTTAGCGTTGACTTGAAATGGAGAATTATTAACACCCACAAGTCGGGAAATAGTTACAGCACTATTTCAAACCGGTTAGCTATCCATAGATCTACGGTATAGTCCGTTATAAAGAAGTTTAAACAGCTTGGTACGACAGAGAATTTGCCTGGACGTGGAAGAAAATCCAAATTGTCAACGAGAACTGCACGAGAACTGTGTCGCGAGGTTAATATAAACCCAAGAGTTGTTTTGAAAGACAATGCCAAAAGTTACGATACGGTGGGAATCAGCGTAAGTAGTCGCACAATACAACGTTGTTTAAATAGAAATGGGTTGTATTGAAACCGACCACGACGATCACCTCTTCACAAATCATGTAACGTTCTTGGACAAAGTAAGTTGCTTTGGGAAACAAGTACAATGGAGTGATGAAATAAGAATTGAGCTTTTTGGACATAAGAATATACAGAAGATTTGCCGTAAGAAAGGTAAGTCTTTCCCTCCAAACAACACAGTGACAACATTAAAACATGAAGGTGGCTCGATGATGTTTCGTGGTTGTTTTAGCTCAAGGGAGACTAGACAATTAATTACAATAAGAGGAATAATGAAATCTGTAGACTATACCAAGATTCCGAATGAAAATCTACAACTATCAGCGCAGAATCTTCATCTAGCTCTACGATTTACTTTCCAGCAAGATAATGATCTCAAACATACGTCTAAACCAGTGACCGCGTGGCTTCAGAAAAAGATGATTACCTTTCTGCCATGACCGTCAATGAGTCCTGACTTAAATACTATTGAAAATCTATGGAAAGAATTGAAAGTTCGAATAAAATCGTCGGTCACCAAAAAACCTTCAGGAATTAGAACGTGTAAACATTGAAGAATGGAAGAAAATCCCAGAAAAGACTTGTTCATATCTCACAAAAAAACTTTAGGAAGCGATTGCATCAAGTTTTAAAGATGAGAGGCCATGCTATTAACAATTGGGAAAATTTTTCAATTTAATCTATTTTTCTTACTGTACGAATAATTTTGCCTGTCAAATTTGTTGTATTTAACCTATTGTTCTGAAAATTGAGTTATTATTCCTGTTTTTTGTGCTTATTAACATATAAAAAACTGGCATACGGGTATTAGATTGTTAGAAATGGATAAAAATATTCAAAATTGATGAGTGTACATATAATTTCGTCGTACACTGTGTATGTATGTGTGTGTTCTCTCTTTATTCTTCTCTGTAGCTTTTATTTCATTTTACTTTATTTTTTTATTCGCAGAGATTTTTTTTTTCATTTTCAAATTGAATCCTGCTAAAAGACCAAAGATGAGACAATATTTGTCAGATATAATATGGAAGCGAATACAAACAAACAATTTTTGTTAATTTACATTTCTCATTTCTTCCCTGATAGATAAAATGAGTCTCGAAACGAACTTAATAGAAGATGTGTTTTGTATATCACTCTTGGTGGGTCAGGCTGGATAACAGGATAAAATACAGACTCAGCGAACCACGTTCAAATTCAGACTTCGACATTTAGGTTTTTTGATTCGCATTAATGGACTGAGGAAAAGAATGAATCCATATGTTATCTTCGAAGTAAACGGAAGGACGAACTATACTTGACTGGCAACCAGTCTAGGAAATGTCAACTTGGAATTCAGAAGTGGACAGAACCCAAAGACGAATCACTGCACCACATTTCCTATAGATATTTATAGCAATGCATAGATTACGGATATTACAGAAAAGAAAAATGTAGAGAGCCATGCTCACCTACACTTTCTGAAAGGATATATTTGCCAAAAAATATCATATAAATTATGTGGATGTTCATCTTTGCGTGTGTGGATGGGTCAGTGCATGTGGTAGATATGGAATAGTCTGCGAAGATAGATAGATAGATAGATAGATAGATAGATAGATAGATAGATAGATATGCACATACTAGGATATATAGAGAGAGAAAGAGAGGTATATATATAGTTACAAAATTCAGATAAATATGAACAGACTAATAGATAGATAGATACATAGATAGATAGATAGATATGAACACACTAGGATAGATAGAGAGAGAGAAGGAGAGGTAGATATGCAGACTTAAAATTCATATAATATGAACAGACTGATAGATAGATAGATAGATAGATAGATAGATAGATAGATAGATACGAATACACTGAGACAGATAAATGTCTCCCGTCTGACTTAAGATTCACTATTTAAATTTCTCTTTCTTGGAGCACACGCTTTCGTCTGTCCACTCAGACAATAGATTAATAGGTCGAGCAGAAGATCTGCTGGTAGAGAAATCATGTAAGTAGTTGGCCCATAGGTAAGCTTGGTGGAGTCGGGCATACTTCCTCTATGCAACATCCAGTAACGTTGTTTCGCGTTATCTTCCCCAGCAAGATTCTCTCACGTCGTTTCTGTCAGCCACACCCAAACAGACAAGTTGCATGTTATTCTGAGAAGTCGGCCGCTATACTAACAATATGTCCTTTTTTTTTTTTTACTTTTTCCTTTTTAACGAACCAAAGCTTAATTCATAGATTCTATCTTCTACTTGTTTTATGTGCCAAGTGTTTTTTGGGACGTGGGCGAACATGACTCTCCACAACTTTCCGTCTTTTTTGGCTGTAAGCAACTACTGACTTTTTGCGTTGCTGAATTTCAGATAACTTAACAGAAAGATTTATTTGAAAATATAAAACCAGAGATCAAAAATATCGAAACAGTGAGATAAAATAAAATTCATATATATATATATATATATATATATATATATATATATATATATATATATATATATATATATATATATATATATCCAGTGTAACAGCAAAATTGTCCAATTGTTAGATTAAATATTGAACCGTTGTATCTTAGAAATAATTAAAGATATCTTACTGGAATTCTCCGAGGGTTTTATAACACTATTGGTCTCTACTTTGAGCAATAAGAATGTATAATTACCATCCAAGCTCAACAGAACAATCGTAATGAAAGCGATCATAAACGAAAATGGCACGTTCATCATTAATAAACCATAGCTATGGATCAGAAGACCATGAAGGACTGATATAAAATTCAAATATATATATATATATATATATATATATTATTCCAGGATCATTTTCCAATTTATTCAAGATGATCTTCGCCCTCTCTAAACTTCTAACTTTCTGTCCTTGAGTAACACGTTGCCTCACAGGTTCAAGTCATTTTTCATTGCTCTTTGGACTGTTATAGCTGAAACTCCACTCTCACGTGACGGACGTCTTATGGATTGAGATGTTTCTTTTATAATTGATCTCTTTAGCTCTAAGTTGAAATGATGATCCCTCTTTCTGTTTTGACATCCTGAGCCAGTTTTCCTCTCTAGTGTTCCGTCTTTTTAAATCTTATTCACCGTTAATTTTTTTTTTTTTTTTTTTTGCTTCTGTAATGGACTTTGAAGATGGGAGCCAGAGTATGAATGTTTGTACCCTATTGATGGTCTGAATGATCTTTTTCCTCCCACCATTGCTCATTTTGGAAGGCGGAGGGGCTGATACAAAACCATTTTGACCTGTTCTCTTTCTAGCTGAATAACACAAGTGGTTTTTCGGTTATTCTTACGACAAATGGTGTCAAGAGGATCAAACGTCTTATCTGAAAACATGGGAAAAGAAATTCTATTAGTTTAGTGTGTTTTAGATATTAAACATTTTGTGGATAGACAATTTTGCTGTTACACCCAGTATATATTAATAAATTTACATATTTTTACACACAACCAAATATATTTAACAAAATTTAAATTATGTAATGTGCAGTCTTAATTCAGCACTTGAAGATTGCATTGTGCATAAAACTCCGAGTCGTGTTACTGCTGGGGAAAATATAGTTTATAGCCCTATTATATTCCATGAACACCAGCACTCAATGTGCGATATATATATATATATATATATATATATATATATATATATATATATATATATATATATATATATATATGATGGACTCTCCCGTCGGTTTCAACGTATGAGGATCTGACAACAACCAATTGATTCATTTATGAATTTTGTGCGATAATCTTAAGTGCCACTTAAGACCCGCTAGTGATTTACAAATGAAGCCGCATATGGAGCAAGAGTGGGGATTATGGGATGAGATCACTGTTAGATTAGCTGACCTTTTAGATCTTGCTCTCGCTTCTTGAAGAGGATTCAGACTAGCAGACTGAAAACTGCTGAGTCCACTAAAATACGTTGATCTCCATTCTACTCTCTCCAAAGCTAAGCGTACGAGGGTGTTATGAGGTATATTGACAGCTGAGAAGGAAATATATGTATAAGGTATATTTAAGGTATATATGACAAGTATATACGAATAATGTATATTTTCGCGGTAAGTATTTATCCAAAGAAGTTTGGTTAAAAAGAATAGGCATGATCTCTCATCTTTTATTATATTGTTCTATTTTTCAGATAAGCTGTTGTGTATTTTGCCACTAAGATACAAGGTGCTACTGGGAGTGAAAGAGGATGAAAAAGACTTTAGAAGGAACCAGAAACCCAATCCTAATCCGGAAGCACGGTACAAGCCTTTAATCCCGTTCAAAGGACCGGGGTGAAATGTGAATCGGACGACAGGTGAGATTATCTATTTCGATTGAAGTAAAATAAATAATCATATAATAAATAATATATATATATATATATATATATATATATATATATATATATATATATACGCTCCGACCAATCGTTAACACAAACCCACTCTCATTAACAAGGCGTCTACGAGTGAAGGACTAACATTGGAAATAAATTTAAATCAATGTTCCGAGACAGACACTTAGAGACTGTTGATAGCCGTATATAGAACGGCTTGAAATAGACTATATCTCTGTTGAGGTAACTTTTGGTTTTTGCTGTAATATACATATATATATAGATAGATAGATAGATAGATAGATAGATAGATAGATAGATAGATAGATAGAGTCTTAAGATGTGCTATATTTATGGGATAATGGGATAAAGTGCTCAGTACCAGATATAGAGCGTGTGTAAATATAAAAATGAACATAGAAGTCAACACTCACCCCTAGGCCATATATATATAATTGTAATTAAAATAACTGATCCAAGTGCGACTTTTGGATAATAAGTGCGACATTACTGTAATTATTGAACAATATAGTTCATGCCACTTTGACAGAAAATTTACCAGTAAAAAATTCGTATATCACCATATTTGTACATAAACGCACAACTGTAAAAAAATTAAAATCAAACTCAGCGTTGCTACTGCGCGCTCCAAAAACAATAACTCATTTTCAATAGCATTTTCGGATACAACAATACATATATTTTCGTTGTCCTCTTATTACTAAGAGAAAAAAAAAACAAGAACAACATCTATTCCATACCTGAAGATGTCTGTAGGAACAGACGAAAACTTGTAGTAAAAATAAGAACTAATACGGCAGAAATTTATAGAAACAAGGATCATTTCATTCATAACGGATTCGGAAGTTTTTGTATATTATTTGAATTGTTTGCGACGATGGATTTCTCGCCAATTAAATCATTAACCTTTGCATTTGTTTTTTGTGTGAATAATTCATGAATATATAGATAGATAGATAGATATTGTATTTCAGCATAAATCCGCCACCAGTGTAGTTCGGGAAGTTATCGTACATAAAGCAGGCATTTTTTTAATATAGTACTCAATATCAAGAGATAGACCAATAATGATAATTTTTTCAAGTATCTGTTGAAAATCATTTTTTAGTGGATACTCGTGTTTGAAATAGACGCCCTTTTTTTAAACAATATGTATTACATCTATCGGCGTGCGCACTTTAGAAAATTTAATAAAGAAAATGTGCTCTTCTATACCATCTTGAACTTCCAGCCTCATATCTCTTCTGCGGAACTTCAGGAACAGCGTGGTACTTTCCGGTTACAAAAGGATCCTACACCCCGTGATCTGATAATGTTACCAGCAGTTTTAAAAGCTTTATATTCAACTATGAAAAAAAAACTATAAAACTATGTAAAAAAAGTAAATGCACCAATTCTTTTTTCGTGTTCAAGATGAGAGGTAGAAAATGTTTTAAAGTTAAATTCTGAAAAATATAAAATTAACAAAAATCTTATTAACTTTAATAATTAGAAATGTGTAATATATTTTTGTGAAATTATTATAACAATATACAAAAGATATCATGGACTGAGCGTGTGAGCAACGATGAAAACTTAAAGAGGTTGCAAACAAGGAGGAGGCTTATACTTAATATCAGGAAGAGGAAACTGAAGTTTCTGGGACAAATAATGAGGAAGGAAGGCCAGGGGAATTTGGTACTCCCGGGTCGAATAGAGGGAAAGAGAGACAAGGTAAAACAACGCGTGACATACCTGGCGGGCTTAAACAGGTGGACGGCAGAACGTGGTCGTGAGGAGGAAGCACAGGGGAGGAAATTGTTGATAGCTGCAAAGTATAGAGGGAGGTGGAGAGACATGATCGTCTGCGTCCTGAAAGGACATGGCACATAAAAAGAAAGAAAGAATAGAAAATAAAATGTTTATTCTAAAATCGCACATTATTTTCCGAACAGACCAATACTATTTCCAAGGTGCATCATGTATTTGAGAACAAAAGGAGATACAAAATTACCATAAGAGACCAATTTAATCATTATGAATGAGCAACATATTCTTGTGCTACTATTATAAGATATTAGAACACAAAAAGTTTATTCTAAAATCAAACATTATTTTCCGAACAATATCTGTGGATCGATCTCAGTCTCATTTCACCTTCCGGCCATATTACGTTGAATCACCGGTGATAGTACAAGAACCGAAGTTAAGCCACGTTGAGCTAGATCAATACCTAGATGGGTGACCACTTGGCTATACCAGGTACTGTAAGCTTTAATGTATGGGTGGTGTAATGGATAAAGGCTGGAAATTCACTATATTCGCTTAGGGCCAAATACTTTTAGGAAAGGTATTAATTCATCGCATCTCCCCCCGCTATGGGTAAATTAGTAACACATGTACCGCTAAAACTATTATTATCTCAAAAATTCTTACAACCCAAAAATATTTTCTGGCTTTAAATAACTTGCAAAAGGGTTATTTATTTATCAATACTGACACTCTATGATTAATTACCTTGAAATGGTGAAGTGGTTTTCATGCTCCTCTGACACAGAGCTGGCGCAAGTTTGTCTCCTGACAGCTCCAAAGGAACCAGACACATCAATCGATATGAGCCAAACCAAACCTAGTCATTTAGAGAAGCATGCCTCAGTGGAAGGATAGTCCTCGGTATGACGACAAACTACACCCGGTAGCAATACATCTAATCAGGAGATTGGTGGTTTTGAGGAACGTAGAACCACCTCTTAATTGCTATTGTTCCCAGGTCGACCCCGACCCGCAGTGGTAACAGCTGTTATGGTCCCACCTATGGACAAATAGTCAAATAAATCTCTATGAAAATATAAAAAAATTTTTATAGTAAAAATACCAGCAATACATTTTTATATAAAAATATTATCAACAATACATACTTAAAGTAGAATTACCAAGAATACATTTTTATAGCAAAATGATTAACAATACATTTTATCTGTAGTTAAAAACATACAATTGCGTTAAGAATATATTTAGTTGAAGTCATAAAAGTGTGTTCCAAATATTTCGATTTTAGCATTAAATAAATGACAGAGGTTGATATGCCCCTGAAAATCGACCAACATGAAAAAGCTTTCATGACATTAATCCATATAATATACTACAATTTCTTTAAAAAAATGAAACTGCATTCTAAAATATAACTTCAACAAAACTACAGCATAAAACACACATATCACCGCCTCTAGTAATTATGTCGACACAAATATGTATATGCACAAAAGCTGAGAATCATCTACCATGTATTGAACTGTGAAAGCAGAATAACATATATCATATTTTTATTATTTCAAAGCTCCTAAAAAAAATTAAATTTCGGCATGAAATGACCCATAAGCTGTTGATATGTCGTTAAACAAACAAATCAATCAATTAATCTTTACTTCCCTTAGCAATAATATCCATTGAAAAGACATGTAACCTCTTCTTCATAGGAAGTGGTTCAATGGTTAACAACGCTTAAAGCGGAAAATGGCGGATCGAGTTTAAAGCCTAAGACCGTTTGTGATCACATAACAATGGTATCCACTCGTTCGGCATGAATCCACTTTTCCCTCTGACGATATGCTGTTAAACAAATCAATCTCAGTGGCCGGAAACCTGGAGCCGGTAACAGCTGTCAAGCTGCATCGATATACAAACATCAAGAGATCCACACATTAGCTTTTTTTTTCCATATCCAAACGCGACCACTGTCTAAAAATAGGAAAGGGTTCACCTGAAAAGATAACAATGTGTCAAAGCGTCTGATTATTATTTGAATTGCTCTCAGAATTTTTTCTGTTGAATAAGGAGGCTTCATGAAAAGGTTTTCTTCTGGCTGCTCTGACTTGACAATGTATTTGATTAAAATATTATACTACTATTCGGAAACTGATGCATATGCCGTCTTGAAAGTGATTTTTTGTCAACTGTCTGATCAATGTCAACTCAAAACAGAATCAGTCAAGAATTCTACAGTCCTGTTGTTCACAGCTGAATCTAGAATTCCTAATCCCGATGTTATATTTTTAACCATTTCACCCCAATCAAGGCAATAAAGCCACTAAGAATCAAGGGGCTATTAAAGTTAAAAGACTGAAAGAAAAGAGAAACATTATTAAGGAGCGAGAACAATAAAAGAAGAGGAATAAAAAAGACAGGTGATGATGATGATTGATATTACATTTAAATTTAGTTATATTTTTAGGCATTCCATGAGGTTGGTTTTATATCAGTTTCCTTCTCCTAGGTAGAGGGCCATTAAGATGGCTAATGAATTCTATCTACCCCCTTTTTTCATCATTTCACCCCAAGCAATTCAGTAAAGCCACTAAAACACAAGTGGGTACCGAGTGCGAAACAATAAAAAAACAAAAGAGAAACATTATTTATTAAGGAAGGAGAACAATAGAAAAAGAGTAATCAAGAAAACAGTAGATAACGATTGAGTTTGCATTTCAATTTTTGAACTCCAAAGTTGGCTGGAAAGCAAGAAGCCGGAAGGGAGATCCACAGGCGAGAAGTGCAAGAGAAGACGCCCTTAAATTCCTTAGCGGAAGTTCATCAGAACAATTACCATAAAAGTATTTATAGAAAAGGCACGGGGAAGCTACATTATGGCAGTGGGAAAGTGAGTGAAGCCGAGATGCCAGGTCAGGGCCAATAACATTGCAGATTCTTCTCCGTATCTTACCAAGAATCACCAGGTATCTAGAAGGAGCATCAGACCATATGTGGCAACAATATTCAAAGCATGGACTGATAAATATGTAACATAGACTCAGGCGAAGAAAAATTGTCTGAAAATGAAATTGAACTTTGCTAGCAGCAAACAGAAGAATTCACGCTCCTACCGGTTGGCATCAGCCATGCTGATGAAAGGCAGAAATCGCTCTCCAAGACGATTAATAAAGAACAGTTTCGTTTTGGTGGCGTTACAATTAACAAGACATTCCTTGCCCGAGTTAACAATAGTGTAATCGTTCAACACCATCTCAGGTCGTCCAAGATCGCTTTGATATCAGACCTGCCTTATCCCACGTTGTGATTTAAGTTTGATCATAAGAATGCCAGGATCAAATCGTTGTAGGTATCTTCGTGTTGGGCTGGTCCAAGATGGGCGATGACGTACAGGAAAAAATAACACTCGAATAAATTGAACAGAAATAAATACTGTTTTTATATCAATCCTCCGTACAATAATTGGTTTATATCAGAGTTCGGGTGCAATTAATTATCAGCCGAACCCGCGTCTATATCGGAAGTGATATTATGCTTGTTGGCTTGACTAAGTTTAGTTTGCTGTTTTGCTAAACTTTGGCACAAGACTGAAGTCGGAGGCTTTCGTTGGCAGATAATCACGTGGGCCTATCTCCTGACTCTGGTCTCGTCTCCGTCTATTCTGCCTCTCTTCTCTATTCTACTGACTTCGCTTCGCGCATTCTTATTGACATTCGACCAAACTGGCATGGGAGTATGATGATGTATGAGCATTTCGGTGAATCTCCTCCAACTTACGTCATGACATTTGGGAACTCCCTCTCTCTACCCTCTCTTTTACTATACTCTCTCTCTCTCTCTCTAACCTCTTCAGTGAGCGTGGATGGTTCCTCCATCCTCCTAAATGTCTTATCTGTGCCTGCTACTGCGTCCAGGAAAACTCATTTCTAAATTCAATTGTTGACAAATCTACTTTTTCCCTTTCCAGTCCGCATTTGAAGCTGTGTGTCAATTAACATTGCTCCCTAAGTCTGGATCACTTTTCCATTGTTCAAACATCAACTCGTTTTTTGGGTGAATTAAATCCTCAATTCTTCTCATGGGTTTTTGGTATTAACCCTTCTCGTTTCAGTGACTCACATTACATAATAGTTTCTTATGTTTTAACAAAACTTTCTTCCGTTTTACCGTGGTAACGACAAATAATATCAGAACAGATGGTAGGTCATTTTTGAGATCAGCTGCCAGTTTGACTTGATCGAACTGATCAAAATTACAGTCTTACCACTTTGACATTTTAACCTTTGATTTTACGCGATCATTTGAAAAGCAACAAGTCTAATAAATCAAATTCTTCATACCACATCGACATTTGCGTGAGTCAATTATCGGTATAGTGGGAAGTCAGTTACTGGTCTAAGTAGTGAAGAACTAATGAAGATCATGAGATACGACTACTCCTATATACCGATGTCAGGATGTCAGTTCGCCACAACGTCCTATCCCTCGTGGCCCTTAGCAGCGTGTCTCCTTTTTCCAAGCCTACTGCTGCCCCCCGTTTCACCATCCATTCACACAAGTTCGTCAGGTTGGTTGCCCTATTCCTCATCTCTCGATATGTCAAGTAAAAGTTAATTCTCAGTAGCTGGAGTTCTCAGTATCCTTCTGTAGAACAACATTTCTATTTCAGCAGTTTCCTTTACCAATGTGGGGAAGTTGTTCAATAGTCTTTTCTTTGGTTCTAACGAACATTTCCTGTTTTATAGATCTTTGTTTAGCTTTTAGAAAACATTTTCCGAAAATACGATGCACTTTGGGATTTCAATGTCGAATTTTCCATCTTCTTCTTCTTCTCTTTCAATTTAACCCGTCCTTTCAGCACATACAAAATCATGGCTCGCCATAACTTCCTATATCGTATGACACTTAGCCGTTTTTCTACCTTTTCTAAGGTTACACCACACAAGTTCCACGGGTAAATAACTCACTGCCTTTCCCTATCTCTCTTGCCCATTAATATGAGTTAAGGACTTCAAATATCTCGGATCTCACCTCATAGATTCCCAAAAAGACTTCAACATCCACAAAGCTCTTGCATAAGATGCGTGTAAGAAACTTGACAAGATTTAGCACTGGAACCTTCGATCCTCTTTAAAAGTCAAAATCTTTCGAACACCGATTGAAACAGTCCTACTTGTATGGATCAGAAACTTGGACATGATCTGTTCGTCTTGAAAGACGAATGGATGGAACGTACAAATCTGCTTAGAAAAATCCAGAACACCAGCTGAAGATCCTATGCAACGCTTAACACCATTTACGTAGAACTAAGACAAATCTCTCTAAAGCTCAAACAAAAGCGATTGCAGTTTGCCAGCCACTGCCAGCGAGTGGACAGGGTAATCGTCTCATCCTTACTTCTATGGCGTCTTTCTGTAGGGGTCTTCTTGCGAAAGTTGACTTTCCCAGACACCATAGCTCGGGTTGAACATTGGGGATCTGGGAACAGCAATACAGGACCGAGCAGTGTGGAAAGGGATTGTTAATGGTGTTCCGACCAACCATAGGGAGGTCGAAGGATGATGATAGTGAAAATCCATAAAATCATATCCCTACGACTGACAAAGTAAATAGGTCTTTTCATCTGTACATTTGATTCTATCTACTGTGAAGGATGTAGACACAGTTTCGTGCGGAGGGTAAACCTGAATATTCGCTCTTTATCTTTTGAATTTAATGAAACATTCACAGTAACAATGGGAAAACAATTGTGTCTTTTTTTTTAACTGAAATCATCGTCGCATTAAGAAAGACAAACTTCTTGGGCGGGGAAGTGTTAGGATCTTTATGTTAATTTACAGGGAGTCGCAGTTTCTCTTGAGCACTTCTGTCCACTCAGTCGACCAAATGGGCGCAGCATATCCACATAAACACACATATACTGAGTCAGGCACAAGAACACACACACACACACAGAGGAAGTCGCATCCTTACTTCTATGGTATCCTTCTGGAGGTGTCTTCTTGCGAAAGATGATTTTCATGGCTCGGGACACTGGGTTGGACATTGGCGATCTGGGGACGACAATGCAGGACCGAACAGTATGGAAAGGGATTATTAATGAAGTTCTGACCATAGGGCGGTCGAATGATGATGATGATGATGATGATGATGATGATGATGATGATGATTATGTCTCGAAAGGGTTAAGATTTCTTCCTTCTTCCTCATGTCTCTAAGGAATTTCAGCTGTCTTATCCTGATTCTGGGTAGAAGTGTTCTTTCTGTTACCTTTTTTTTAAGACTTCCTTGTTGCTTACTCTCTCCGTTCATAGAACTTTCAGTATCCTTCTACAGATACAATTTTCTACTACCTTTTATTTTTGCCTCATACCTGGGGAGATTATCTAGCATTGGCCTTCATACAAGAGGATGGATATCCTTTCCGTTTTCAGAACCTTGATTAATATTTGAAATGATTCTTTCGCTAACCCAATACGTCTTAGGATCATGGTATCGCACTTTCCATCCTCTGTTAAAACGCTTCTCAGATATTTGAATTTCTGCTTGATGCTTATATCCCAAATTCGTAACACGCATTTTGGGCTTTTTCTCTTCTTGATGACCATACTTTATGTCTTCTTATAGTTGATGATGACTCCTTTTTTTTACGCTTTCTTCTACAACACTGAAGGTCCTGTGGTTTGCTTTCTGGGTCGGGCATCAACACAGTGCCAACTGTGTACCTTATATTGTACGATTACGCCCATATCCTGGTAGAGTCTCCAGTTACCTCGGGATAGCGTTGCTGTAGAGATTGCGGGGTCCCTTTCTATTTTTGTATAGTTACTCATTTTATGTTCTCTATGCAGGTTGAAGATTACTCTATCTTCTTTTCCAAATAGATCGAGTTTTCCCAACAGTCCAAGTAAATCCTCTCATCATCTAGAGAACAATAAAATAAATTTCTTAATTCACAAATAATAACATATATAACAGTAACATATGAAGAGGCTGATAGATAGATAGATAGATAGATAGATAGATAGATAGATAGATAGATAGATAGATAAAGACTGAAATAGATAGATAGATAGATAGATAGATAGATAGATAGATAGATAGATAGATAGAATGAAAACAAAATGAATTAGAAAGATAGAAATGAACTGGAAGAGATAGGGAGAGATAGAAATAATGAAATAAGAGAGAAAGGGAACATATATACACGAACAGTCTGATAGATAGATAGATAGATAGATAGATAGATAGATAGATAGATAGATAAGGAAGACCCATGGGAAGAAAAGTATCATTGTCAAATTAATTGCCGGTGAAGCTAGCACTGCACTTTGATAGAAAATGCATTTAGTTCGGCTTTCATCTTCTTTACTAAAAATGCTACGACAATAATTACGCAGAGTGCCTGACAAATTGCTTAATTTGGTGTGCAAAATGATATCAAGTTCCAATAGAGAGAAATTAAAAAACGTGGGTTAAATTAGCGATATAGCAGATTTCCGTGCCGACATCCACTCATCTTTGTTTTCTGTGATTAAATGTTTCAGCAACGACTTACCCAGCGACGATCTAAACCTCAAACACGTATTACTTAATGTGCTTACAGATGATCACTCGGCGACAGTCGTTCATCTCTGAATGTGGATGTTTCTAATGCCAAGTTTTATAATGTGCAATGTAATTACATCGGAAACGAATGGCATTGCATTTCCCATGACGAAGCCTCGCAATTAATATAGAACTTAGGAGCAAACCATAGTTTCATGGAACGTTTCTTTTTTTTTTTTTTTTTTTGTCACGAGTAGGTTACAGGAAGTAAAAGAGAATGAGGAGACTTTGTTGTGGAGAAGTAAGAAAAAGGAACAGGAAGAGGTTTCAGGAAGACGGGGCGAGAAATACATGTAATGAAACTACTAGAGCAGAATTGACTGCTGCATCTAACTAGGCAAACAGTAAAACAGTGAGAACTAGTTGACTAGTAGAATTTGTTTTTAATCATTTAACCCCAAGCAAGATGATAATGCTACTAAAAACGCATGGGGTTACAGGGCGTGAACGAGAATGAGAACTCTTTAATGAAGAGGAATGAAGAAAAGAAAAATAAATGAACAGGGGTCAAGAAGACAGATGGTGTAGATTGCCGGTGCAGTTTTTCTTTTATGAATTGTGTGAGGCAGGGAAGCAAGGAATTGTGTGTGTCTTCCACGGGAGAGAACTGCAAAAAAAGAAAATTTAAAAGAGAATTAACGGGTTTTTTTGTGATTTCAACGAATACTCATTACCACTTTCATAATGCTCGTTATAGTAGAGACTTTGTAATCGCAGATACAACTATAGTAACGCCGTTGAACAATACTGGTGTCAGACGCCTTCTAATAACACTCGCACTAATAGTACTTGCTCGATAATACTAGCTCGAATAGTAACCACCGAATAGTGATCTGAATAGTCATCCGTATAATGATCACTTAGACGCTACGCTAATTCCCATATATATATTTCCTTTACCATCTTTACCGTGATCTGCTTATTCAAAATGGGATCGCCTGTGTTGCTTCTCTGGTGATCTGTGCTCAAACTCCAGAGTCGGCAGTGACATTTTATCGCTATATAACACGGTTGCATTTGCCTAATAGGATTCGATAACTTCAACACGTTGTTTGATTGTTAATCTTTCCATGGTTGAAATTGCCAAAGACTTAAGTTGTTAAATCTGAAAGAAAAAGAAAAAAAATCATTAGACGCTAAAACTTAATTCACATTTAAAATCGGTCCAAGTTATTGGAACACCCTATATAAGTGTTTTTTTTTTTTTTCTTGTCTTTTTTTTTAACAGTCTAGGGAATCTTCTTCCAGGATCTTCAGTAGTATCATCGGTGCATTCTCCTTAATCTCGTCCACAAACTGAAAATCTCGTTTTCAGCTCGATTTCAGCGTTGTGAATGCGATAGCCCTGAAATATATGATTATTACGAACGAACTCGGACGCCAATCAACGAGTGTCTTCCATTCTTTTCTGTGAAAGAGACGCGCCTTTCTCAAGTCCGGTAGTCGTTATCACTCTTTCGTATTGATGGGAGTTTCCTTCCTAACCTTTTATTTGAAGTTGTGTGGAACAACAACATCTTGATTATATCATTATTTTCTCTTCGAATTACATGTGTTGTCCATTTTATTCTTTGCTAGTGTTATTTGGTACAGTTCTTTGTTTTATGATTCTGAGGCGCCAGTCCACTATGTTCCAAGAAGGATGATCTTTGCCAAGAGCCAAAGGCTTCACTCGCTTAGTCACATTAAAAAAAGAACATGTCGAGCATTAAATAGTTTTTTATACTTATTAGGTGATTATTAGTACATAATATGCCATGAAAAGGATTTTTGATAATAAATATATTTTAACAACTAAATCCAAAGAGAAGGAAAATGAAAGAATAATCACTTTAGGAAATGACATTAAGGCATTTTTTTTAATTCTCTTTGATGTCTAGTTTAATTGTAGACAGCAGGGTTCTCACAGCTTTAGATATTTAGTATGATTAAATAATATCGAGAAATAAATAAAGAGCTAATGAATGTAATTAGATAGATAGATAGATAGATAGATAGATAGATAGATAGATAGAAAGAAAGAAAGAAAGAAAGAAAGAAAGAAAGAAGTGAAGAGACTGGGCTAGATACATACATACATAGATACATACATACTTTGATTTTTGTTTTGCTCATTATGGCAAATCTTCATTCCATCAATCCGAATTGCAACAGCTTTCGTCTAAAAATAATCTCGCACTTAAGATCTTGGAGAGAGAAAGACATCCATCTTTCTATCACGTCACTTCTTCCGCGTTGAACTATAAACATCTAGATGAACAAACTCAGAAATTCTGCACAAGGTGCATTTGTTTTTCTTTGTGTATGATGATTGGCCTCTTGGGTGTGTTTGCGACATGCGCATTAAAAATTCTATCATGATTTCAGCAGATCTGATCTGAAAGATATTTTATTTCCGAAAAAAAAAACAGACTGCGTTTGGATTGCGAATGCTTAGCTTTTCAGAACTTTCCGTCAAATCAGACTGGAAGCAGTGGTTGTTATTCGATCAGCGATGTTAAGCAACGTCGACTCTGGTCAGTGTTTATTACGGCTATCGGCCTGTGCACTCTAAAAATCTCAGTAAGGATAATGTTCTGTCCTGCAGTTTCTTAAGTTTTTTCTTTATTGAAATTTCTCGATTGTTCGGGCGAATAGACGTAATAAACACTGTTTAAAGTAAAAATAAAAAAAGATGCGTATATTTCTTACACGAGTATCCACTATAATAAAGTTTGATATAATAAAAATATCGGATTAAAAATAAATCTATTATTTCTTTCGGTATATATATATATATATATATATATATATATATATATATATAAAGGTTAGACAAAATAATGTGAACAGCTTGCCAAAATGATATTTTTTTTAACAATTCCGGCATTTTGGATATTTGTCAACACCATAAAATGTAACTGTTCGTCACTTTAATCTTGACCTTGCTTTTCTACTTAAGTCATTATCTCCAAGTAAAAGAGTTAAAATACGTGACCTGTAAGATTTTCAGAGAGGGCAAAATTCGTGCTCGATTAGCAGGAGCATCTGTGGATTATTGAATTTGTCACGAACTGTAGTGGTAGCGGTTATAACAACTTATACAAAAGAAGACAAAACATCATTAGCAAAGAGACGGAAACCAATGCTGACCGAAAGAGACCGAGGAATTTTAAAACGAAATGTGGCAGATAATCATAAAACTACTACAACAAAAGTGACATCGGAACTCGTTTCTCAACAAACCAATACAGTTTTCTACACGCACAGTACGGGAGCTCCACAAAGATGCTATCCACGGAAGGGTTGCAATTTCTAAACTTCTGATAGCAAAGTCGAACGCCAAGTTGCGAAAGAAAACGGCGTGATGATCACAAAAATTGGACACACGAAGAATGGAAAAAAAACGTTATTTGGTCTGAGGAATCTTCCTTTCCTACAAACGGGTGTGTTTATGTCTGGAGAACACCGCGTGAAGCTTATAACCCGGATTGTATAGACCCCACACTCAAACATGGAGGTGACTCTGTAATGATTTTGGCGGCAATTTCACAGTATTCTTCTGGTCTTATTATCACTTTTAATGGTAGAATTACCACAGATAAATATTCAGACATTCTCAACGACACTGTCGTTACAATGGCTACCATACTGTTGCCAAAAAGTGTCATATTCCAAGATGATAATGCACATATACACACTTCAAAAAAGTGAAGTCGTGGTCTGTGAGCATCATAACGTAATTAAACATCTGCCATAGGCAGCACAATCACCTGATCTCAACACAACTGAACCATTATGGGGAATTCTAGAGCGGAGAGGGAGGAACAGATTTCCACCCCCCGCCATCGTTGCTGATGCAACTTTTCGAGATTTTGATTGAAGTATGGGATAAAATTCCACTAGAAATAATTAAAAACTTATTCGATTCCACTCCACGTAGAATCAAAGCAGTTTTAGAAGCTAATGGAGGTGCAACACATTATTAGTCAATAAATAAATGTTTAAGCTAGATGTTCACTTTATTTTGACTAACCCCTTTATATATATATATATATATATATATATACATACATATATATATATATATATATATATATACATACATATATATATATATATATATATATATATATATATATATATAAGACTAACGTTAGAAAAAACAAATAAAGATAATCAATCCAAATAAATACATGAAGTAATAAACAAATTAAAAAACTGTTCCCGCCAAAATAATAGTTAGAATAAACTACAACAATCAACCCTAAAATTGAATAAATAGCTTTAATTATCTTCCCAAACCAAAACAAAACTATTAAATAAGCGATATAAACAAATTTTTGCTACGTTAATAAAAAACACCGATTAAAATAAAAATAAGAAATAAATATATATATATAATGTGTATATTTAGGCAGCAATGTTTCATTGATGCATGTTTCATTAAATAATGTAGACAAGTTTTGTCTATTTATTTTATGTAAGTTCCTTTCATATTGTCTGATAAGCTAAATAACATTATCATTGAAAGACGAAAGGAAATCACCATATTGATACATGTTTTAATCTTATCTAAGCTTTCGGCTTACATAAGCCATTATCAAAGATGACAATTACGTTTCAATATATCAAACAATACACGGACGAAACAATAATGATGTTTTTGTTGCATGAAAAATTTCAAAGCAACGACACTCGTGTATAC